AGACAGATGGCGCGGCGGCTGCGGCTCGTTCCGTGGAAATTAAGCAAGACGGTACAGATCACGGCACAGGATGGCGAGCGCGGCCTTGGTTTGCGAAGTATTTTTCACATTTGATAATATACCCAAACCAACAACATTACTAACTCTGATTCAAACAATTCTTTTAGAAGGAAATTTATATCCCATGATGCACTGCCATTGATGTATTCAAATCAAAAACACTGGAACAATATAAAACTGCTGACTTTAAATAGTACAAAATATAATAAAAGGGTTATTATAGTTAACTAAAACCATAAAAATAATTTTCATTACTTTAAATAAACTAATTGAAATCAAATAAAATATAAAAAAACCTTAAACTTGTTTAATTTCAGCTATAGTTGGCAAGAAAACATTTCTCATTTTCATTTAAAATAATTTGAAGAAAAATAAATAAAATTAAAAGATTAATAAAAACTATAGATATTATTTTAGAGCGAAAACTAATAAAAATGTTAAAAATTAAAAATTAAATTAAAATAAAAACAAAAAAATTAATAAAAACTATAAGTTTCTCAATGATACTAAAATAACAATGAACCAAATATATATATATATATATATAATATACTTTAAATGTTTATTGCAAAATATTCCAATATATGTAGTTTGAGAACCTATGGAATAATTTCTAATTTTCATTTAGTTTAACTTGAATCACTATAATAAACAAAACTAAAACTGAAAAGAAAATGAATTCAAAAATATATAGACATATTTTTAAAAAATGCAAAAACTAATAAAAATGTATGATTACAATGAATAATCTATTATAAACAACATTTTATATGATTTTTAAATACATTATATTCTATACATTTATTGCAACATTCAGATATATAAGTTTGAGAGTCTAAGGAGGCTGACTTGATTACATCATTCGCAATGCTTCATGGGAGTGGGCGGTGACAGATGAGCTTTTTTGGAGCAAATTCTGTTTCCATGGTAACAGTGAGCTCTTTGATTGGTGGATCGTTCTCTTGGACCTTCACAGAGAATTTGGCTAGTAAACATGATTTTTTTTTTTTTTTTGCATGAATTTGAAATAACAAGCAAATCACTTCAGAGGTCACGGTAAACCTATTTTGAAAGTTCTATTTAAAATAGCATTTTACTTCTCAAACCCAACTGACTGATAATATATCTGATAGATTGGACTGTCTTACCTTTTTTTCAGTGATACGCTAAGGAGAGCCAGCAGAGGAGCGCTCCTACCCATGTCCTGTGAGGAGATACAAGGGAAAAACATTAAAATCACATCACAGATGTTTGGAATAAAGAAAAACAAATGAGGTTGAAACATTACAGTGAAAGAATAGGAATGAAGAGTTTAGGAATAAATGTTGTGAAAAAACATTTTTCAAAAAAGAAAATCCTAACTCCAACATTTTTTCATATTTGGTTAAATGGAGTTACATAGCTCCTAAATGACTCCAAAATATTCCCTATTCAGTTACATTGTGTGGAAAAGAGCAGCCAGGGCACTCTTCAAACTCTCTTTTGTGCGCCACAGAAACCCTACGGTTCGGAAAGAAACGAGGGTGAGTAAACAATGACAGAACGCTCGTTTTTGCACGAACTGCTCTTTTAAACTCCATCTTGCGAATCATCCCGACAGTGCAGACTTCATTACTCAAACGCCGGGATTGTGTCCATATCATTGTTAAGCACTTATATTGCGGGTCTCTCAACAGCAGCCAATAGAACTGCAGGGGACGCAGTGGGTGCCTCCCCACACAAGAGCGTGGAAATAGCTTGGCACCGGCGCGCTCTTTTACATAAACTAGTCCCTCTAGAACCTGTTTTTATATGCTGTTATATGGTTTGAATTTCCATTGACAAATTAGAATGAAATTATTCTAAAATATTCTAAAGAGAGCATGGGACCTAGGCCAAGGGATATGAAAGAGCTTTTCACAGTTTTCAAGGGCCCAAAGCACTAAAGGAGTTTCACATCAGAGCCCTGGGGCCGTTCTCCCCCCCCCTCCTCCTCCGGCGCGCAGCGGACAGGGATCGCCTTCATGAGCGCCGGCCCTGGATCTGGAGAGGGGAAGGGCTGGGAAAGCGGGCCAGCTGTGGGGCCCAGTCTGGATGGCTGACTGCTGTCTGGATGGCTGACTGCTCTGTCTGGCTCTTAGACGTGTTCTCTTGGCCAGCGCAACACATGCACTAAAGCGTACACATTGGAAAAGCAACACCCTTCTGCTCCATATGCCGTTCACAGGCAGGCTCTGGTCACTTACAAATGAAGGGGGAGAAATGTGTTGGTTTATGTTTCTGTGGGTGAGGTTGCTAAGAAGAAACATTAATGATCTTAGAGACACGCATGACAACAACAACATATGAGGTGACGCGGAAAATTTACATCTGGGCTCTGAGCTTGAGGGATGACTTATCCGTAACGAGCTCGCGGCTTTAAAAACAGCCACAAAACACACATTTTTCATCTTTAAAGATGCATTTTAGATTAAAATGTAGTCATTGTTTACTCACCCTCACGCTATTTTCTTTTCTCTTCTTTACTTTCTGTTAAACAAAAATCTTCCTCCACCAACGCTCTCAATTTAACTTTTTAAAAACGTGACTAAATATGAATTTTGAAAACCACATTTATTCCTATACCACTTTTCACAATACACATTGTTTCAAAGCAGCTTTACAGAGAAGCATGATGTTTTTAATATCTTTATGCCTTAGTCACATACAGCAGATTGGAGTGATAATAATATAATAATATAGTATTATATAGAGAGCTTCGATGGGAGTTTTCAGTGATAGAGCATAGAAGGCTTTTATTGGAGCTTGTTGGTATTTATAAAAACAAAACAAAAAAAACACACATTTTTGTATTATGGAAAAGAGCAGCTTGGACATTCTGCATGATATCTCACTGTAATTTTTTAATATTTAAAAGAGTATTTTAGCCAAAAATCAAAATTCAAATGTCATTATTTACTCCCCCCTTAAGTCATTCAAAATCATGTTATTTTCTTTTCTTTACTTTCTGTTAAACGCAAAAATCGTTCTCTCCATCAAAGCGCAAATCTTTCATGCTTGTGATAACATTGTATAATCTAGAGTTTTGATGGGATTCTTTTTAATGATTGAATATAGCACTCAGATTTTTTGAATGTGGTGGTATAAAAATCAATCCATTTTAGTTTTATGGAAAAGAGCAGCTTGAACATTCTGCCTAATATCTCATTTACTACTGCAATTTTAAAGTATTTTGGCCCAAAATTAAAATGTAGTCAGAATTTACCCTCAAGCCATTCAAACTCATGCTATTTTATTTTCTTTACTTTCTGTTAAACACAAAAATCTTCCTCTCCATAGAAGCTCTCAAATCTTTTTATTGGTTGTAAAAAAGTGAAAAATAATGGTGAATAAACACTGACAGAATTTTCTTTTTTAGCAGAACTGCTCCTTAATGTTTAGCATTGAGAGATGATGTACAAATCAAAGCAATGCATCACTGACGATACAGGCCTGTCCCTCGACAAAATGCAAAAGCGGAATTCAATACATGCCAAGACAAGATCATGCTTTTTTTTTTCTTTTTAGTTTCCACCCTGACATTCCTCACGGAAAAATGCAGTGTATCACACGGACACAAGAAGACGCTAATTCTGCTCGGCAAACAAACACTCCCATAGAAAGGTGTGCATCTGTGCATACAATGCTCAAATTTATATCCATCATGCAAATCAAGATATTAGCTTTAAAACTGACTACAATTGATTATGAACAGCCTATGTTGCATGCAAATGCCAGTCACAATTACAACAAATGAGTACTTTTGATAAATGAGGAAACGTTCAAAGGCATTGATGGTTATTTTAGGATATGCAACTTGCACAAAGTGTACACTGTTTACAAATTAGTTTTTTCAGAGCCACTGAGATACCTAGCTTTTCTGACAAACGGAAAATGTTCAAAGACACGGAAGCTAATTTTTGAAAAGGATCTGCAAGTTACACAGCGTTTGGAGTGTACACTGTTTGCTGATATTTTCCTCATAGATATCAAGCCCTCTGTTCTCTTCACATCGCTGACGTCCCTTTCTCACAAAACGCATCCCTATACCTGTGTTCTCAGCCTGTTGTTTTGAGTCGTTTTCCCCGGAGACCAATGCATCTTCTCCTTTGTTTTCTGTCTGTTCTGGCCTTTAGTGTTTATTCTCAGAGCCACAAAGCTGTCAGAATATCCGACAGCCCCGTCTGAGAAATTGCATCTGACAACCTTCTCCATTTATTAGGCAAAATAGTGAAAAAAAACGCTCAGAGTTGGAGCTTTCTGATCGGACTGCATTCTGATAACGTGCTTTTTGCAGCTTGCGTCTGTTCTACATTTGGTTGAGATGTAGATGTTTGCAAAAAATTGCAAAGTTTATATATATATATATATATATATATATATATATATATATAATATATAATATATAAAGCAAATAACAAAATAAAAATGGCTCAACACATTATTGTGATCAAACCTGCTGCAAAACTTCATAAAGTCCAATGTGTACAGAGAGAAAGCTACTGCATTTCAGAAAAATGCAATAAAAAAAAAATAAAATAAAAAAAAGTAAGGAACTCAACGCCCGGTGCAAAAGATTGAAATAGAGATAAATGCAAAAACAGATTTGTGGTCTCTGGTGTGTTTTTTTTTTGTGAAGGGAATTCCATGCAACTGGCTATGTTACAGCATTTGGATGTTTTAAGTTACAAGTCCTTGAGATATTCCTGTTAAGAAAATAATTCTGACCCTCCTCTTGACTGTCGTGAAAATCAAAAACGTCCCTTCATGACTACGATGCCACACGTCTAATTATAACATATCTGATGGCGTGCAATTACAGGACCAACGGGACCAATCACGAAGCGTGAAGTGACAGGAAAGAGTATTCTGAGGTAAAACAACACTGAATCTTGGCCACGCGCCTAACGCCTGCGTTTAACCCTCGCGCAGCGCTGTTGTCAGGCCTCACGGGTTAATAACGCCACTGCGAGCTCTAACATGACTGCAGTCAAATTAATCGCAAACTTGGCTGTTCTAACCTCCTTAGACAAGGTTTGTTTCCAAAATAACACCCGTGTATTTGCTGTGGCATTCAACAACAAATTCAAGGAACTGGAGTTCTGTGACCTACGATGCTCTTGACTATTTTATACCGTTGACAATACATCTGAACAGTCCTGTAAAGTTTCCAGTAAATAATTTGATAAGAAAGCCTGGGGTAAAAACACTTACGCTACCAGGAGCATATTAAACACCGCAGACATATTTTCTAAACGCAGCACTGTTTTCAGAAGAAAACTGCAAGAATTACTGGAGCTTTTGATTCCAGTTTATTTGTACTTAGATTTAACATGAAGAGGATCTGTAGTTAAGATCTGAATGTACTTAAATCTCATTAAAATCTTAACTACAGATCCTGCTTGTGTTAGAGTTGGATAAAACTTAAATGTAAGTACAATCAAAACATTTAGTTTGCATAATGTTAAACAGCCACAATGTAGTCACTTGCATATTCAATAATATCAGAAATATTATTACTAATGCTACTAATAATCACTACTAATATAAAAATAATAGCTGTGGTTTTCCTGCTAGTGTGTGTGTGTGTGTGTGTGTATGTATATATATATATATATATATATATATGCACACACAAACAAAATTGTCAAAAATCTATTTAAATTTTCCCACATATTATGTGTGTAAATAACCTAATTAATACTATACAATAATTTATATATTTACATTCATATTTAATTGTGACGTATTGTACTGCAAACTACAGAGCCAAACAAACTTTCTCTGCTGTCAGTGAGTTAATCATTTTTTAGCATCCTGTTTTCTGTCAGCTCAAGACTGAGTGTTTTAAAGTGTGCTAATTAAAGCTCACTTCTGGGTGACAGATTAGTTGTAAATGGGTCCCTGTGCCTGAGGTTAAGCTACCTTGGGTTGTTCATTATTCAACCATTAAGCCATCAAAGTAAACTCAACAGTCCATAAAAACACCAATTCATCATGCTCTCACTGCAAGTCAATGAAGTTTACCTTCTTTGTTGTCACTCTGGCCCCGTGCTCTATCCCAGAATCCCAGGCACTTGTCATTACTGGGGTCCTCTATCAGAGCCTTGTTGCCAGGGACATACCAGGCGGCATGCTGCTCTGTCATGAGAGAGTCAAGGTCAATGGTATTCACAGAGCCCTTGCCTGTGACTGGGCTAGAATTGGCCAGGGCGCACTCTCCGTTCAGACCGGCCTGGCAGTCGGCCTTTTTGCCCGTTTTCCCTCCCATCGGCTGGTCCTCGGAGATACTGAACTGCTGTCTTTGCAGCTGGATCTGAGCCTGCAAAATCTCCAGAGGATGAACCTCATCCTGGCCCGTGTTGCTCAGTGGTGTCCGCACCTGTTCCATGCACGGATTGTCACTGTAGCCGGCCCTGTTTTCAGAATTACACTTCATGCCAGCTCTGCAAGGCCTCGGGTCCTCTGCGCTGTAGTTGGGGCTGGCTTCGTCTAAATAATCCATGCACGGTGAAACACCATCCGACTTGCCCACGCTTTGAATTCCGCTGTCCATCGAGGTGGTGAGGTCAGGCTTTCCGAAGGAAGGGGAGACCAGGGACCTCTCCGGGGTCTTGCCGCGGCTCTCCATGCCCACATTCAAAGCGGAACCCTGCTGACTCGGACTGACGACGGGGTTACCGCCGCAAGGAGGGGAGAAGTTTCCGGGACTGATGTGCCCGCTGTCGCGTCTCTTCTTCCCCCTCCCCTTGCCGTTGCCTGTTGCCATTTTCCCCTCGCATCCAGACTCCATGTTGTCATTCGGGGAAAGGGTGCTCGCTTCCCTTTTCGCCATCTGGCCCGTACCACTTTGACCTGCCGTCGTATTGTTATTCCCAGAGCAAGGCGTTTGACTATTCTGAGAAGCATTGCTCTGGAAATACTCTGCCCCTGGGCCACTACTGCCAGTGCTATTTATGTCCTGCTCAACCTGACCTGCTTTGCGTTTGGCCTCATTTTGACTTTTCTTATTAAAAGTCACATTGAGGTTCGGGGCCCCAAGGCTGGCGATCATATTCTGGCAGGCCGTGGAGAGAGCTGCCAGACAGCTTTGGCCAAACACACTGTCTTTTGTATTGGCTTTGTTCAAATTCCCCAAAGAGAGGGCCCCAAGCTTATTGACTGACAGGTGCTGGCTGGAGAGGTACTCGGGATGGGCGGGATAGTTCCCTGGAGAGGAGCCAAATCCTGGAGGATTGCTCTGGGGGGCTCCCTGTTGACTCGGCCCTCCAGGAGGGCAGCTGTGCTGCCTCCTCATCACCATTCCTCCGAATTCAGCCGGCCTCCTGTCCGTGGGTGTGCCTGACTGCATGTTGCTCTCGTCGGGAGACTGCATCTGCAGAGGATTGCTGACATTATTTTCGAATGGATGATGCGCTCCCGGAGAATTCAAAGACTGCATGTCCATGCTTGTGATGCCTTGCCTAAAAATAATGTTGTGTCCATTCTCTGCCTGCTCCAAGGCATGCGTGTTTGTTTCTCTACAATGCTGCTGCGGCTCAGGAAACCATGAGTTTTCTTGAGGTAGGTGGGGGCTGTCAAAGTTTCCATGAAAATTATGCTTCTTCTCAAAATTGGACTGAGACACACTACCCAGAGGGCCTCTGCAGACCATGCCATTTGATGTGACATCCCCGTGGAGACTTAACTGTTGCAGGTCGGGTTGTCTCATTCTCTGCTGCTGGCTCCTCGATGCCATTTGTTTGATCATCATCGCTGCGTTCTGCTGCCGCTGCTGTTGTTGTTGCTGTGGACTGGAGCTCAAGGGTAGAGGGCCTGATGGAAACCCATCCGTCACATGAGATGTAAAGTCCCCCATAGGAGAGGGGAAAGCCGAGGGGGAGAGGTGGTTCTCAAGATTGGGCCGATTATGTAAGCCGTTGCTTAGGGGGCTGTAGCTCTCTCCAGCAGAGCCGTTTGGGAGATCAAACCGTGGCCTTTTTGCCATATTCAAATAAGGCAGTGAGCTGAGGTGAGGGTGATGTGGGGGCTGAGGGGCTAGCTGGGGGACATCAAACACTGGCTCCCCAAAGGGATGCATGTTATGGTTGTTCAGTCTATGTATGGGCCGGTCCAGGTGGCCGTGTTGAACGTGGACCATCGGACCACCACCTTGAACGTCCGTATTGTTTGCTACATAGTCCGGAGTGTGATAAAACCGCGGAAGGGCAGGGGAACCGGGGTTCTGCCTGGCAACAGGTCCCGGTCTTTGCTGCGGCATGAGGTGGTGTCTAGCGTTAACCCCCGGATCCATTTTCCCTCGGTTCCCGAATTGGTCCGAAAACACGTTTTCCTGAGGTAGCTGCTGGTCAACTTTAGAGCCACCCATCATGGGCCCTCGGGAACCACTTCGATTACAAGTGGCAAAATGACCCCCGACCACTTGGTTCCCCGTTTCACAATAGGGCAGTTTGTGCTCTGAAGAGTCCGCGGTGGAGAATCCTGTCATATCAAAATTCCCCGTCAGAGGATCACAGGGAAAACAGTGCTCTGATCCCCCCATCCTACCCTGTGGGAAAAGCCTGTAATGTTCAAGCCTGTGGGTTTCAGGGGACGAAGACGGCAGGCCGTGGAACGAAGCGGCGCGGTTTGGTGACTGGTCTAGTGGAAGACACGGCGCTGGAACGGCGTGGTTACCGTTAGGATGGCCGTGCGGTTGAAACTCAGGCATTGTGGCCATTCTCTGTTGCTGCGAAATGCATTCTTGCGACTGCACCTCTGCAAGCTGCTGACTGAATCCTCCTTCGAACATATGCGGGTGACCTGCGTTGCTGTTATTGAAACCCATGTGTCTGTCCCCGTGCAAGCAAGAGGGGACGCTGTCCTGGTACAGATGTGAATGCTGGTCGTGGTTAGGAGGTTGATGGTTGAACGGTGTTTGCATGTGGAGTTGATGTTGTGGCTGAACTCCCATAGCGAGCATATCCCCATGGCCATGAGTCTGGAATCCATACTGGTCTCTATTTGAGACAAAGTTGAGTCCCTGTATGGGGGATTCATTTAGTGGACCCATCATCGGCTCCACAGCTACCGACGGCCCTTTCATATGAAATCCGGCACTGTTATAATTAGAGTTCATTTTCAGTCCACTGGGATTAAATTCCTTTTGTTAGTTTGTCACTGCAAATAAAAAAAGACAATTAAATCAAACAGTCCTTTTTTGTTGTTGTTGTTATTTTCTGTCTCCAGGGCCCATGTTAGCAGCCGATTTAAAAATCCAATTATTATATATTTTAAATAATATAATTAATAATTAAAAAAAAAAATAAAGTTTACGTTTCGCATGCATGTGCTTATTGATAAATATTTAATGATGCTAAAGTAAGAGATTAGATGACAATTGGAAGTACCTCAATTCCAACATAAGCGTAAAAACGCGAACTCCTCTTTGTATATCCTTAGAGCAACGACCCTGAAAAATGCACATCTTAAAAAACTCCTCGTTTACATTATTATTCGATGCGTAACGTCCCCAAGTCGTTCAACACAAATCCAGAGGAGTGCAAACCAGCGCGCGGAGCACATGTCCCATGTTCACATATCCAATGCAATGCGCGCGCGGTCCCGACTAATAATTATTCTATATCAAAAACACTTACATGAATTCAAAAAGAGTAGATAAATGCAATAAACTGACGGTCCTCGGAGGAGAACTTCGCGCGTGCGTTCGGTCCTGTGAGGAGACTCAATGCGCCGCGGTGGGTGCGCGCGCTGTTAGGAACTGGAGAGCCCAGGGTCCCTTTTGTTGTCACAGTATGAAATGTATTCAGCGCAAAATTTAATCGCCATTTTCTTTAATACTGCGCGCTGTTCCATCAAATGCTTCTGGCTCCAGGAGGGTTTTCTCATTTATCCTTGACTCGGATGTGTCGAGCCGCGGGCATCGGCAACAAGTTTGACATTCCCTCATCTGCTCCAGCGCTGATTTCTCACCAATGCCGACACAGGCACACATGCGCAGGGGGCGGAGGCTCGTGCACCAGGGCGGGGTCTGACGCACAAGGGGCGGGGATTCGCTTAAGGAAGTCTAAAAGAGATATTTATAACGTATTAATACATAATACAATGGATAAATACTAAAACAAGAAAAACACTTCAATGTCTCAATCTTCAATGATACTCTGTTTTACAAATAGAGCTAGATTACTTTACAATTTGGTGCATTTCCCCCCCACAAGGTATACGATCAATAACACATAGGCTAGCTAATGAAACATATCATTTAAAAGATTTAAATCTATGAAATGAAATAATAAAAACTCTGTACATATAAAACAGTAGATTTATTTAGTACACATTTATAATTTTCTCCCCACAATTTGCATATTATCAAAACGTCTACATAAAAACATCCAAGAAATATGCATCAGTGCTCGATGGTATTTAATTCTACAAAAAGTATGTGGTACACGTAGAATAATTAAATACCATCGAGACCAGATCTCTTATTTACACACAGCTATACATTTTGTTTTATAATTTACATTTAGATCAAATATGAAACAAACATAAATCAGTGTAAATCTTCAGTCATTCCCAAATCCTTCATATGTGAAACAGCTATATTCCCTTATACACAGATAGCCTACTGTAGTAAATATGCAGCAGTTAATTAGTAAATTAGCAGATGCATGAAACAGGCTTCATTTTCAAGCTGTGACGAACGGCAGCCAGAGATAATGAATGTGTCTTCAGGGTTAATTTCCTGTAAGTAACCGGTGATTGTGATGTATTTTTATAACTCACTCCTGAAGCATGGGTCAAATTATTTATCTTTAAAACAAAAGCTTTTGAATGAACAGTGATTAGGAAAATGTGGAAATAAAACCCTTATACTACAAACTAGACTGTGTCTTGCAAACCCACTGTGGAATGATACGACCATTAGGCCACTGGAAGGTTTTATGGAGAAATATAAGTGGCCATTTATTGATAGCCATGACTGAAGAAATTAAACTAATAAAAGGATAATAAATGGAAAGCCATAAGACTTATTTTGTAGGTCCCTCTGGTCTTTATAAGAAATCGTTACCTGTTTCTTTAGCAAAGCGGAACAGTGCCATCTAGTGCTGCTGTCAGGAACAAACAGGTGAAAACGAGGAGAAATTTACATTAGACATGTTTCTGTAGCCACAAATAAGATACAGAAATAAAATGAAGCATTTAAGGTCCTAACACCTCTAGACTAATGATTTATTATTACTGCGTTAGAACATTTAATCCTACAAATATAAGAATATATATTTACCGTATAGATTTCAATGATTTTCCTGACCTAAACACTTAAATTTAAAAATTACCTGATGCTTCCAGGTTTTCCGTGACTTGCATCTAAAGGCAAGACATTAAAGCATGCAAACCTACAATGAAAATAAAAGACCAAGCATGACTGGCGTCGAAATTTATTAGATATACTGTTAATTGTTAAATTTATAACCAATTCAAAAGCTGCAAGAAAAAAACAGAATCACACCATTGTACATTCACTGATATTTCCCGATTTCCAAACAAACAATCAGAAAAAAACAGTAAACCAGCATTGTGTAATTCCCCAAGAAAAAAAAACAAAAAACAGTAGATTCTCCAAGTGCGCAGTTATGCTTCGATTACAATATGATTCATTCATTATATCTGAAACCCTTGCCCATCCCAGTCCCTGCTAGCCTAAAAGCCATGTACGTGTACAAAAGTAAACCACACTATCCGTGAGACTGGAGACAATATGTCTGAACAGACGTCAGTGCACTGATTCCTCAATTATGATCGAGAGAACATGAAAAAAGCAAAAATCAAAACCTGACTTCCTCCCATCCAGATCTATGAGAAGAGGAACACAGGTCTTCTTGATTGCCATAAAGGTGCCGCTGAGGCCGAACCTGACAGGTTGCATGATTGCGTGAACATTCGTGGACCTTGAAATGAGAGGGACTTTAAGAAACAAAACATGCAAACCAAGAAGAAACGTGTTGTATCCCACGTTCAGGCTTGAAAACTATCACAAATGTGCAATTCTAACTAGACAATCACAGTGTGATAGGATCGCGGTTTCAACGCAGACATCAGGCACTAGTTTGCGTGTGATTGCACAAACTCTGGCCGTCAGCTGTCCATGAAAGCCCGACTATTTAAACTAATGCACTGACCACAATATATGATAAAAATCCCAATCTGTCTGTCGCTCTGGACAGAGAACCGTACACGTTAAAAACCTGTTACTAATAAACGAGGAGATAAAACAGCCCTGCACTGCGGGTCAAGCGCAAACAGCAGAGACTCTTTTTGCTAGGCTGGATGATCTGAGCTGGTGCAGGACGGCCAGAGACGAGGAAGACAGGAAGTAGAATTATTCTACCTGCACATCCTGTGACTCTGACCTGGTAAGATATAGAAACTATACAAATATCAAGCTCTTTAAAATGCATTTATAAAGTTCTCCTCTTTGTCTTAAGCGTCTGTTGAGGCATCTACGCACACATTCAGGTGCAGAGCTCCGGGTTCCCACACGTTCTGATCAATCATTTTGCATAGACTGCAATATACACTATATAAATATATGAATTTATACTTTAGGATTTCATTAAAGAAATCTTTTGGGGACAGCATGTCGATTGTAGGAATTTCAGGTTGTCCATTTTTTGTCAAGCAAAAAATGCTGTTACATTAATGCATTTAATGCAAGTCTGCAGGGCTGGTCAAAAAAGATTCAAGTACACACTAAAACCATGAGACTTGTGCACTAGAATCTCTTCCTGACTGTGCCTGTGTGACACCGAATTTAAATCTGTTGTCATGACAACCGCAGTAACATTTGCATAATATGCGCAAGGATACCAGACAGGAGTCACTGCTTGCATGTCAGTAAACAGAGATTCATCCACCTGGAAAAATAGTTACACCTCAGAAATGACAATTTAGACTTTATAGATCAAATAATAGCAAGAGAAAAATGACAATCATCATCACACTTCAGCTTTTAAACGGCAATGCGGTTTACGTGCATTGCAACTGCATTACTGAATTGGCGATTTTTGCTTTTTAAAAAGACTGAGGGACTTTATTTTAATTTTATTATAATTTACTTACGGAAATTATTTTCTGTAGGTATACTTGTAATGAACCGAGACTTTTCCAGGCCTGGAAATCACAATTTTCCCTGATATCTCCAGGATTTTCCAAGACCGTGGGAACCCTGAGAGCATTACAGGTAGATTAGCGATATAAAAGCACTTTGCCTGTCCTAAAGCAACTCTAAAAGTAAGAAAAAGCAGCAGCGGCTATTTGCTCCGGTAATTAGCTTGGATTTTGGTGAGAAGAAGAGGAGTCCTGAGGGGTTACGTCACGCAAAGTGTCTTGAGAACATGAAGACCCTCTCAAAAACAGCCGCTAAGATGCCTGAGCTCATGCAAAAGCCACTCGTGGAAAAGGTTTTGCGAGGTGGACGTGTGTTTTTGCACAAATGTGCATGCCGTGCAGTAGCATCACACATTTAACCTAGAAAAACAAGACATGGTAGGCAGGACTACGCTGATACGAAATGAAAATCTACTAATTAAAAACGTGATTAGGAATTTAAAAGAACCAAAAGAAGTGCTTCATCTGGGGGGGAAGACTAAACACAGACAAGAACATAAAGATCTGAAACATTACAAACAGATAAAACCAAACAAAAACACAAAGAATTGGTCCAATGCCTGCCAAAATTAAGTCGTTTTGTTTCTGAAATAGAATAACACAACCATACAGCAATACTCAGATATTTCTAACAAAGCGGTAATAGTCACTGGATCAACCTGGCTGAATCTAAAAACAGGTTGACCGTGAAAATGTCCACCCTGTCGGCAGGTGTGTGAGTACAGTACTACTGATCACTGTGTCATTCTGCGGTCTGGTGGAGGAGGACGGCACCACCACTGGCCGGTTTGGTTGGATGCGGTGATGTCTTTCGTCAAGTGTCGTCGTGGTTGGATTCTTGAAGTTTAGCCTTATTGCTCGTGAGCAGCACTGGTGCCTCGAACCTGACCAGTTTTACGAAGCTACGAGAATGGGAGAAGAAAACCGTGACCGTTAACAACACAGAAAAAACACGATTCATGCAGCTTTTTCAATGCATGTTTGAAGCCAGACGATTCATTCCACCCTTTTGTCCTAACCAGGTATGAAATGATGAAGTGGCCTATCATGTGACGATCTCTACGATGCTAATTTAAGTTTTGGTGCATTTAGTTGGTTGCTTGGTTTCAACTGGATGCATTGGTGTGGATATATATATTCAATGTAAGTATTGTTCATTGTTTGATCATATTTACTAGTGTAGTTAAGTAACATTAACAAATGAAACATTATTGTAAAGCGCTACCAAACTGTTGCCTTTGCAACTAACTGAAATAAAATAAGTACTAAATTATTAGTATTTAAAATAAGTATTAATAAAACTAAGACTGAAATAAAAATAAGCTAAATAAATATTTAAAAAAAAAATGCCAAAAGCAAATAAAATTACTAAAACTTCAAAAATAAATAAATAAATAAATAAAATCTAATTCAAAATAATACATAATATAACAATATATAAATAACACTAAAATAACTAAGGGTATTACATTTTTTGGCACATTTCTAGGTGGTTTCTTACTGACTCAAGTCAAAAAAGTGCACCCTCGCATCTCTAGATAGTTTGTCAGATTTTTTCAATTGTATTATCATCTACAAGGTGAAAATTGTAAGTCTGATCACTTAGAAACAAGATGCACGATTCGATTAATTATTCACTGATTATTCACAGATTCATTCATCTGTAGCACAAACAATGTGTGGTGATTTACATACAGAACTTTAATATGTAGGATAAGGGTTTGTTTGAATCAATAACACCAAGTATGACTAACAGTAATAGTGCCTTAGCAAACACCACTAATTAGTTCTGATCTGCTGTGATTGTCACATCACTGCAGCATTACGTTTTCATCATGCCTGGTTAGGACGCCGTGTGAATTCAATACACTGCAGGCGTTTTTTTTTACACTCACACGTGTACAAACGCACACTCAAATCAAAGAGAGCAGAAACACATGCTCACATGCGCCGAGTACAAACACACTCTGGAAAAATCAACAAGCACAAAAAAACGGTGATTAGAAACCAAGAACACAGTGCAGAGAAGCAGCAATGGGGCGATGAGGAGAAATGAGAAATGAAGGAGGGGAAAAAAAAAACAAGATTGGGCAGAGACGCTTGGAAAGAGCGGCCGAGGAGAATTTCATCTCTTCCAGATCGTTTTACGGCAGAGCCAAACGCAGAGGGAGGGAGAATAACACAAATATGAAGCGGCTGTGCGCCGTTCTGACTCTCAACAGACGCTGAATCTCTCTTGAGAAGAAAGTCTATAAAATTAACTTCATAACTGCCTTACAGAGATGCTGCAAAATTAACATAAGATTCGAAAAACTCTGAAAGATGAAAACCACATGACCAATGCGAAAATAAAGGTATATTTCACTCAGAAATGAAAGTTTTGTCATCCTTTGTTATTCCAAACCTGCACGAGTTTCTTTCTCCTGTGTTACACCAAAGAAAGGTTCAGCAGAACGTTCAGGATGCTCGTTTGAAAGTATATAATGGCTGTCAAACTCTCAAAAAGCTCTATAATAGTAGTCCAACAACATACATTGTCCAACAGTAGTACAACTTGTGCAAAATATTACAAGTCATATAAAGTCAAATGATACCTTTTATGTGATGAAAAAAATTAAAATTTCCTTCCACAGCGGCTGTCAAATCTCCTTTGCACTTCCATGTTTGAATATGCAAATATAAATTTAAATAACTAAATAAATAAACAAATTAACAAACAATATTTATTAACTCTAAAAAAACGGCTCTTAATTAAATTTGATTCAACCATGAAAAATTAAATAAAATAAAAATTAGATTTCGGTCACACAAAGCTATCTTATGGTTTCAGAAGACTTAAAATACAGAACATAAATCATATAAACTATTTTTATGATGCGATTTCACAGCTTGATATCCTGTGGCCACTGTATGCTTTAACTGTATGAAAAACAAGTGTGGAGATTCTTCAAAAACATCTCCATGGAAGAAAGTCAGTCATACAGGTTTGGAACGACATGATGGCAATTTTATTTTTGTATGCACTAACCCTTCAGGACGAGAACAGTGGAAAAGAAAAAGATGGCCATTGCAGCTGTTCCTGTAAACATCGCAACCTGCCTCCATTTAGATAGAAGATCAACAACTCGACACAAGCACGCTGCTTTTGGGAGCTACAGGCATTGGCCACCACACTTACTTTTAAACATCAAGAACACCTAAAAAAAAAAACTCTTTTACCTTTCAACTAGAGTCTAAAACCATTAGAACTTGCAGATGAGGCTTTTTCAAGGAACTGCAAACACCTGCTTTCAATTTGTGCCGTTGAGGCACTATTTTCCTCTAGCCTGAGCGAACGCATTTGGGTGGTACAGCCAAGAGTTTGTCTGAAATGACTAACACTTTAAGTCGGGTTACATTTCTCCACACGTCAGCTGAGAGGAGAACACCAGAAGAAAAGTTAGTTGTGGTTAGCTGAAATGGAGGCAGTGAAGAGATGGGTTAGTGGGTGGCGGCGGATGAAAAGAACGTGAGAAAGAATGCACGATGGAGCGGCCGCCTCTCCTCCACTTACAGAGTCTCTCCACCTGCCTTGTGTTACTAAAAAGGATTCGGCTACTCTTCGGCTGCCGTTGTGCCTCGTACGGACCCCTTTTGACGCATCTAGAAACAAAACATGCCGTTAGGTGCTATCTTACCACTTGCTGACAACCAGCTGGAAGAAAAACGTTATGAAACAACAATGTAGCCAATAACAGAACATGAAGAGCATATTTGAGTGAATCTCAGGTAGAAATGTCAATTTTCTTTTATACGATTCAACGTACCTAGACAAGGCAAGCTAAGCTTATTTATATAGCACATTTCATACACAATGGTAATTCAAAGCTCTTTACATAAAAAGGAATTAAAATAATCACAAAATGACCACAACATATGCAAAAGAAATAAAATAATACAAAATTATCTATAAATAAAAATGAATTGAAAATGTATTAAAACAGTTAAAAAAAATGAATTAAACAGAATAAATGAGCATACATTTATGCGTGTGTGTGTGTACATATATATATATCTCAGTGGTGTGCGGTGGTGTTCTGAATTTTCTTTTTTTATCAAATGTAAATTCATGTCACAGTTGCATTATCTTGGTTAAATAAGCATTACTTACACTATCAGAAAAAAAAAATCTATTTTATATTATTACATTAACAATGTAAACAATATTATATTTATTAAAACCAAGAAGTAATCTAATCAAGTTAGTGTTTTTAAGCATTTTACATTTATTCCTAAATAATAACTCAAGGCAGTAACAATTTAAACAATATATTTTATTGGTGAACTTATGTTGAGCTATTCTTTTTAATAGTTAACTTTTAACTACTTTTTAATTATTCGGTTCATCAGTCATCAAAGCTCGGTGAATAGCCTATTGGTCACAGACACAGATTTACTTTAAATTTCACCAAGCTGATTACTCACTAAAAACTCCCACAGATCATGTTTTCAGGCCTTATTATCACAAGTCTTATTGTGATATAACAAAGTGGTTATATCTAAGTGTGTGAGTTGTTTACTTTATTAAAATAGTCTTCCCAATAACGCCATTATATTTTTCATTCAGATTCGCAAACGCGCACGAACACAAGAGGCGGGATTTATCACATGAACCAATCACAGCCGAACATAACCAGTCATATCCAATCATATCACACGTGACTTTACCCCATTCATTCTCAATTACCCCCCACCAAACTCACCGCACGCATTAGGGGGTCTGTTAAAACTCAATGGGCTCAGGGGAGGCGAGAGAGACGCGGACTTTTCTTTAGAAAAACGAGTGATTTATACACATTTTAATGTTATATTTTGTAATATTGGCGTTGTTTTATTTTTGCACTATACAAATTCTTTTCTCATCCAATATTTTGAGAAGACACTGCCTCTCTTGCCTCCTCGGAGGAAACGCCCTTGAGATAGATGCAAAAAAAAAAAAAAGAATGAAAAATAAATATATTAAAAATGTTTTTTTATTAAATTATTTTTTAATTTATGTAATAAAGTAATAATCTATTTAATTATCATTTAATTACATTTATTAAAATATACTTAAAAATAATTAACTAATAATTAAATTGCAATTAACTAATTTAAAAACACTTAATTTCAGTACAACCTTGATATGGACAATTGTACCTTACTGAAAAATGTTAGATTATTTCTTCACATTACAAGCTATTGATTATTGGGGAACGCCATATACTTGCATTTCAAAAAAGAAAAAAAAAAAAAAAAGAAAAAAGATATATATTAATGGTACAAAAAAACAGGCTTTCTTTTCTTTATTTCAGGGAGAAATATGATGTATTCGTGACTCTTTTCACCCATTTAACACCTAACTTTCAGCAGAGAGGCACTGAATGGGTTAACGTTGCCATAATCCTCACTGGAAACATATTCACCATCATTTCCATAAAAGAGGTTTTGAAAAAATATACCCTGGAAGATTTCTGTAAAGCACGGCAAAGCCAAAGTAAACTTAATTAGTCAAATATTAGTCCAAATACATACTTTCTGCTTGGCAACTGGATAGTAGCGGTGTAAAAAAATGTTTGTTTAATATAAAGTTTTACTACATATACTGTTTGTTTTATTAATGCCAGCCTTTACAACTGAAAGCAATTACAGATGAACTGGTCAGGAGAAAGATATAACTCGTAACGTTGATGGGTTGACAGTTAAGGAATCACTTTATTGGTCTTGGCTAACCGTCGCTTAAGAATAAAACTAATAAGCGACTACGCCTTCGGGATTTGGATGAGAATGTACTGATCGATATTTCCCAGGCAGTGAGGAGTTTGTGGTTTTCTTTGGCTGCATGCTGAAAGCGATCACAGAGCGTGTCAGAGTTTGGAGAGACTGGATCGTCATATTTACTGGGTAGAGGAAAGAATCTGGGCCAAATACTATACACTTGAGCTGGGACGTGTTCAACAAAAACACACAACTGAAAATAGAGAATATGAGCATGCTGCCAACGGTGACCAGCGGGAAAAAAACCAATATAGCTCAAATCTATAACCCCTTCAATAACGTCCAGAAGCCGAATTAAATTCAGTGATTACTGACGTCTACAGTCTAATAATGACCCCTGGTGCTAATATCACAAGTACTAACGTTTTATTCCACATATAAACGCCCACATTATGCTGTAAAATCTGTTCAGATGTGCACTGTAGGCTGATGATGTACAGATTGTACATGTATATTATGAATACAGTGTTTCTCAATAGCTCACTGACCCGCTGCTATTTTATATTTTAACTGTAGTCTAAATTTAATGTCAAGAGACTAAATAAAACTAAAGCTTTCTTTATGATTTCTTTAACACAACTTTCTTTTGCCTTGTGCTTAGTTGCACACAACAGCAATTGCATTCAACTAATTCTCATTTTCAAATGGAAATGAATCATTCAAACTATTTTAGTCTGAATCATTTGGACATTTAGCTATCTTTATATAGAATAGACTTAATCCAGGGTTATTACCATTATCTAAACTATATATACATATATTATTTCAGCTAGTTGCCAAAGCAACATTTCTCATTTTCTTTTAGTTTATCTTGAAGTACTAAAATACCTAACCATTTAATAATTTAAAAAATAATTAAAATTCATTTATAAAATTAAATAATAATAATAAAAAAACTATATAGACATATTCAAAAAATAAAAATGAGTAACACAAAATTACTAAAATCTTAACAAAAATGAAAGTTAAAACAGAAATTATAAAAATAAAATTGAATTCAAAATATTATAAAAAACTATAATAGTATATCAATGATACTAAAACAACACTGTCAGGAACTAAAATCGAATCCATAATTGAATTAAAATGAGTCCGAATCATTTGGGCAACTCACTTGCTGAATCAGTTGGAATGACAATGACAAATAACATTCGCTCACTGAACCTAATGCAATTATTTATAGTAAGTCATTATTTTCAAAATGAGTTGTAATTTTATTTAATTGCAATTTTAAACTAGTTTGAGCAGTTTTTGACACTTAATTCAGCCTAATTATTTTACAAAATGATAGAAATTCTACTAAAGGCGCAGAAATTATACCTTTCGACCTTTAAAAACCATACATGAATGGACCAAAAAAAAAAAACAGTGGAAAGAACAGCGTTTCATGATCTGTACTGCTGGGAATAAGGAGGTCTGCCAAGGATGTGTGGGAACAAATGCAATTGAGGAAAATATACATGCTTCAGACCATAATTCTGTGCAAATGTCATTCTCACCTCCTCCAGCTCTCGCTGCGTCTCCTCCTCCATCCTGCGGATGTCTTCCATGGTGAGCTCCACCCAGCTGTCAATCCAACAGAAGAGCTGACGGTGGAAGTTGGTGAAGATTCTCTTCTCTTGCTGCAAACGCAGATGAAAAACAGTCTGTTACTGTAAAATAAATATCTCAAAACTCATTCAAATTTGAGAGGCATCACTTGAGCTTTGAAGTCAAGGAAAAGACATAAGAAATGTTTTATATCACTAATATCACAGCCGGCACAACACACCTTGAGATTTTAAATATAATATGATATAATATGCACAAGTTTTTTGGACCACTTTATGGAACTTTTTTTTTTTTTTTTTTAATTTTTGGAGCATGACAGCATCACATGGGTGTGAAAAAGAGCACTTTGGACTAGATATGCGCCGATTGACCAGCCATCTGATTTTCCGCATGATCGGCCCGGACCGGTGACCGGTCAGTCTCACATCTTTCCGATTCCAAGCCGGTCCATTTTGACGTCACAGCCACGCTCACATCCGCATGTAAACAAACATGTCGTCTGCGTGCAATTTCTTCACTGTGAGTGAAGACACAAAATTTGCAATTTGTAATATGTGTGGGGCCCAAAGTAAACCACAGGGAAACCACCACAGGGCTCGGTTTATGCTTGTACGGGACAAGCAGATTTTTTAAAGGGGCAAGTGAGAGAGAATTTTACTTGACCCACTAGACAACTAAACATCAATAACAAGAATAACCGGGGAAGCACTGAAAGTTGGCCACCAAAAACTGATTCTGAATTTACACAAAGCACACACAAAGTAACTCACAGAAAATTATAGATGCAAACTGCGGTAGAAAAACAATGATATTTATTAGGGGTGCTCCGATCAGGATTTTTGAGGCCGATCACCGATCACAGAAAGCAGTATCTAACGATACGATCACCGATACTGATCTTTTTAAAGCCTTATTTTTATCATGTAGAATTATTTTAAATTATTATTTTTATTATTGTTTTGCAGACATGAATTAGAATAATTTTATTCTCCAATCAGGAATTTAAGACATTTATTCAGGGCCTGAATTTCATTTTTGAAAATGGGGGGAATTTCCCTCTTACAGGTGACTCTTGTGAGAGGGGATTTTTTTTTTTACTTTAAAGGGTGGAGGGGAGCATTCTTTAGACATTTTTCAAAAATATCTATTTATCTCACCTAAACGTTCGATCATGAAGTGCATTTTTGTTTTTACACTCGTGCAATTGTTGCAGAATAGCTTACACACAGCACAAAAAAAGTTGCTCAAGCAAGTGGCAAAACATTTAAAATACTTTTCTTACGTTATCACAAACATTCTAAATTAAAACTTGCCACTGACAGAAATAGTCAGCTCTACTGCTTTTCCTTTTGCTTTTAAATCTTTATTACAAGCAATCCTGCGGTTCATAAAGAACTTTGTTTTCCTACCTCCACGAGTGCCATCTATTATTGCCTTGTTTATCTAAAAGTGCTCTTTTCCTTTCAAACTAGCCAACAAGTAGGGTTGGGTACCGAAACCTAGGGTACCTATGTAACCGGTATGTACTAGAACCGAATCAGTCATTTCGGTGCCCTTAAATGCCTGAGCGATCGATTGAAATATTTGTCCTGGTTCTCTGAAATTGACGTAAGACGCATGGGCGTCACTAGGCCATTTTTAGCGGGGCTACAGCGATTAGCTCCATAAAATTCATGATCGCCTCAGAGTCAGTCCGCCCTTAACACATATGAACGCATAGGCTACTTTATAAAACGATCATATTGCTATTTTCATCTGAAAATGTAATATTTTATATAAAACATATTACAGTGCATGTGGCATACCATACAGTAATTCACAGAACTGATAAAGACAGTGAGAGACAGCACTCAGTCAATTCACTCATTTTAACTAAATATCAGAGTGATTGACAGAGATACAGTAGAAACATTATGTGTGGTTTTGTAT